ATCTTAATTGGATACGTGTGACGTCAAAATAGCGCATGGTTGTAGATCTGCTATTTAAAACCTAACGGTACGCGGAAAAGATGACAGATGTTTGGAAATCAAACGCCAGAAAATTTTGCGAGATATGTAAAGTAAGTAATTCGATCCTATTGCGGCTCTTAAAATAGTAACAAGTGATTAAAAATGATCGCGGAATGATTCCCTGGTAGTGATAATTAGTGCGTTAGAAAAAAAGTGGATTCCATGGAATCCAAGGTTCCATTGCGTTTCCGTCGTTTTTTGTTTTTACAACTAGATGTATTGCTTATGTTATCACGGGAAGCTATATCTCCTATAGATGGGAGAATAAAGTTGGAAATTTTCAGTTCCAGAATTGTTTTGTGTTATTGTTATTGAAACAGTCAAAGTGAACGATCTTATTTCTGATTTGCAGGTATGGTTTGCGGACAATCGAGTTAGTATAGAGCATCATGAGGGAGGACAAAAACACAAAGCTGCTATCCAGGCTAAACTACGAGAACTTGGTAAACAAAGCAAACAAAAAGAAAAAGAGGTTACATTATCTGCTTAAATCGAATGATTGCTTCATTCTCGTGTGCAACAAATAATCTTATATTTTCTGGAAAAAAAGTGTATTAAGGAAATATTATAAAAATGAGATGGATAGAAGAGAAATCGTTGCTGGGAAGTGATGAGATTTTATACGTTACACTTACAACTCAACTGAATTACATGAAATTTAATAGAACAGTTGAATTTTTCAGCGAAGTGATCTACAAGCTACTTTAGCGATGATGGAATCTGCGGCGAGCAGAAGTATGGGAATTGATGATTCATGTCCTTCAGGTTCGTAGTGACTTTTGTTTTATGCTAAATCAGAGATTTAGTATGTGAATGTTAATATATGTGATTAAAATCACAATAAATATATGAAGTGTTTCAGCGGGAGTAGCTGGTCCCATGCCAAAACCGAAAAAATACATGGATCCACGAGCACACAGTGCTTCGATCGCTGAGATGGCTCGCCAGATGGCGCAACGAAGGAGAGAAGTTAGCTTTCTATGATAAATTCGAGAATCCCTTAAATTATGTTATATACATATTTGCTATATAGGTTATATACCCTATATTTGATCGTGGTTACTACGAAAGTCTCCATTTTCAGCAGGAATTGGAACGAGGGAAAGGAGAACATAAATCAGAAAACGAGGAATGTGATACAGAAAGTGAAACAGTTGTGAAACAATGTGATCCGGAAAGTGAAACAGTTTGGGTTGAAGCTAAAGCGGAAAATGGTGCACTCTATTACTTTCATATGTACAACGGAGGTATGATTTATTCATCAACTTTTCATTAAATAATTGTATTTATAAATTACATTATTTATTGTTTGTTTATTTACTTTACATGTTCATGTTCCCATTTGACTTATTAATGCATAATTTGCTCAATTATTTTTCAGTAACCGTTTGGGAAAAACCCCAAAATTACTACACAGCAGAGCAGTATACCATGAAACTAGCTATGATGGAGAATAACAGTGATGCAATGGCTAAAAACCAGGTTACTGAACCAAATAAATTGAAATCAGGTTTGGGTTCATATTTTAGGAGAATTGTAAGGTATCATTATCCTCCAATATTCGAATTACTTATTGTAATTTTTATCCTAGTCTCATGAATTTCGGCAACAATGCGTCAAGCTAACTGGATCAACTTGACGTACTGCTAACGATTTTGTGTCTGTGACAAATAATAGTTGTCAAGAGCCGTACTAATTAATTTTTTTGTTGATTAATTTTCAAGTTTCCTCTGTTAATTGGTTTTCAACAACTTCGTTTTCTCTTCTTACTATTTTTCTCTTCTGCTTTGTTCAGTGTTCATAGGGTGGTTCGAGAATATCAGTGCACAGCATAAGGAATCAATTTGCAGAACCACGTCGTCATTGGAGAGAAGAAGAAACTTCAGGAATTAATAAGATGCTGAAGATGTGGGAAAGCCCTCTTTCACAAGATAGAAGAACAGTTCTAGAAAAACGAAACGCAGAAGTCTCGTCAAGTAAGTCATTTTTGGAATATGTGATCTCCTCATAGATTATTTTATTTATTTATTGCAAGTTTAAGGATATATTTATTTTGCTGGATCTCTCTTTCAGATATGCAAGACCCAAATATTCGTCAATCAACCATAAATGAGACGCAAGGGAGTTTGTCCAAAGAGTCACAAATCATGAAATTTGATTCCGAAACGGATGCTGCAAATTTTGATGGCAACGAATGTGATGATATTCCTTTACCACCATCTTTTGAGGTACACACTATTTTTTGCTAGGAATCTACTTGTATTACGATTTTTACATCAGTTTACCTCATATCCATTTTTTGCTTTTTTCTTGTCGCCGCTAAAACCGAATCATTTTTCAAAGCTTTATATTCAATCCAGATAGTGGAAATGTTGGCTAAAATTGTTATAAATGAATTGTGGACTGCGTTTGTTTCGGTGTTTCATTGCAGTTATCCAGTCAGCTAAACTTTTTTCTAGGATCCAGAGCAAGAGAAACTGACATTGAATTTGGCGATGAAGGAGGAGCCGTTGGAAGAGAGCAACTGCAATCAGAATGACTATTTGAATACCAGTGAAGGAAGTGTTGGTGTCAAAAATGAAATAGAGAAAAAAATTAATACTGTAGGACAAAAGGAGGCACTACGATCCAGTCCATACGGCCCATGGGTACCTGTAGAGAAAGTTCCAGATAAGCCGAAAGTGTCAGCCTTTTTGGATTTTTTATGAAAATTTTCGTGTTACCGATAAAATATGCATGTAGCAAGTATGATGCTAATGTGACAATTTTACTATAATATGTGTGATAGTTTTATAAAGAGTTTCTATACCAAAATTAAATTTCGATTGGAAATAATCATTGATTCAGAGTTTATCATTGCGAAAAGTTTACATATGATGGGATGAGATTTCCATTGTTTTAAATGACAATTATATCATTTATTGATAAGTTAATAAGATTCATATTAAATGAGTTATTTTCCAGGGATTGGGAATTGTCTACTGAAGAACAGAGAGGAAAACGAGCCAGTGAATCAGTGCTGGAACCAGAAGACCTCATTACATTTGGTAATAAAAGTGCAGTAATAAAACGAAAGAAGATAGACGGACCGATTGAATTTAGGAAGAGGAAAACAGCGATTAAGACTAGACGACCTATTGACGATCAGTAATAGCAATCAAATTTGAACATCGCATATTCCTTCTGTGCATGTTTCCTCCTACATCACCATCATAACTACACACTAGATTTTAATTATTTGATTTTATTATATGTTATAAGTATTTTCCGAACAGCCTACCATATAAGAACATCGTGGCAGTTATTAATCCATATGATCTAACTTGTGTATGTCTCGTTCATTTGTTTTCCTGAACTATTTTAACCTATGTTGTTATTGCTGATGTTATGCGAAAAATATGTACATTCCTACTGAACGCCATCTCTTTCCTTTGTGTTACTCAATAGGCGGTTCAGATATTGACTGATATTCACAGGAGAAGACAGCAAAATGAACATTCATGTCATCATATTAGGTAATTGTATTGGTCGGTCGGTTTGGTTGCATCATGTACAAATCTTCGGTTCACCATAAGTGATGAAATTTGTGGGGAGTCGTATTACGCTTTCCTAGCGTGAGTTGAAATATTTTTAAAGAAAAAATAAACTGTTATCAGTAGCATATTTCGCATTATTCATTTTTACTCAAGCTTTTCTGTCTACCCTCCCTGTTGTACTAGTGGAAATTTTTCGTCAGTCCTTTTCCCCGGACCGGTATTTTGATAACCTCCCTTTCCTCCTTCCCTTACTTTCATCTCCCAATACTTTTTATAAAAAAAATGGGAAAAAAGAAAGTGCTTTTTTCTTACGGCATACCACAAGGTACAAAGATCAAAAAATATATGTATGTATATATGAATATGTGGAAATACACAATATTGACATACAGGCACACATTTGATAAACAACGAAATACATGCGAAAGACATGCTAACATACACATACATAACGCTGTAATGATCGATCCAATCGATGTGCTTAGGAAAAAGTGAAGTACAATATGAAAACTAACGTGGTGGTTTCATTTTCAATGTTTTCCCGGATCACATTTTATTTTTTGTTTTGGCAAGGAAATGTATCAGTTCGCCTATAATTCATGCATGTTTCTTAGTATGCGTTTATGTATGTGAAGTTAATTTTATGAATTATATGATTAATAATATGTACCTAATTTCTTCAACGTTTGATATGAAAAATAAGGAAGGAATTACTGGTTATAACAGGATGAAATATATGAGAGAAGGTAGTAAAGAAGGGAAAAATAGGTAGGTACCTAAATGAAGACAAATGAGAAAAAATTAGAGTACTAGGTATCGGAGAAAAGAAGAAGAAGACAAATGTATCTTAATAATTTTTTCTAAAAATTTTCCCCATATATATTTGTAATTACACTTCAATAATTTAATGATTTGCTCTATTAACCTATTTACAGGATAATAAATCAAAATTTCATAACGAAATTGCTAATACTCCAAGTGTATCATCAATTTTACGCGATATTGGTCGTATCAACTACTATGAAGGATAAGATTTTCATCTAGCTGATCCACTCCCGCGATATCCTAGATTACAGATGTTCCAAATTCATATCATTTTAAGAGATCTTAAGAGTAAAATTTCATATAAGATCAGATAATGATTCATAAAGATTGATCTTTTAACAATTCGTTAGACGTTATACTTTTAATGGCTATTACTACTTTCCCCTGTGTGAAATAATACTTTTATTCACGAAAGAATAAACCAAACGTTAATTCTCTGTCGCGTAACCATGGACAACAATGCTACCTGATGATAACATTTCATATATTCTTCTTATGCATTTTCTTAGTTAGCTTCTTAATTCAGAATTAGTAAAGTTATTCAATTTAAAAGGATAATGATTGATTGATAATCTAACTATTATTACTTTCTGTATTCAGGTATCCATCAGATCAGATATGAACTGAGAAATAGGACATACAATGAGTAGAATTTATATCACGATATGCTTAGTATAATGTTAGCTACTTTCATTCCTCATTCACTTTTCAAATATAACATTTAAGCTGTAGAAGAGGATAACACTCTGTCATCCCACATATGTTGAAAACATAAGGAAAGAAACATAAAAGCACACACGACCCCTTCCCGAGATATCCCAAATTATGAACAAAAAGTAAGGCGGGTATTTCCTGGTTCGCCCGTGTCTGTAATAGAATTTTCATAACCGTTTATGGTTGGATGGAGCTACTATTTTTCTCTTCTTCCACATAGCTGTTCCTCTCACGATCTTTTCTTATCTGTAGTTAGGTGATTTTACATGTTTAGTGTTACTTATTATATATCAACACTCGATTAGAATGGTTTTGTCAATCGAAATTGACGTTGTGTGTTTAGCAATCTCATAAGGGCGGTACTTGTAACTTTATTTGTTAAAGTAAAACTTATTTCTCGTTTAAGGAGAAAGTGTATTGCTTGGTTAAGATAGTATGGGTTACTTGCTTGATGATTACATTCATTATAGACATGTGAAATAATGCATTATGGTTTTTACGTAATTTGCATTAACTCCTACATGGTGACATATTTATTTGTGAAAATAATTTTTTATGATATGTATGACCTTTCATCTTTTCATTGGTATTGTATGACTAAAGCATACATTTAGGTTATAACAGATATCACGTGTCTCTTAGGGATGTTGCACTGTTTGCCTTACGCAGTTATTGATCATTTTCATTGCGTAATGAAATGTCAGTGGAAGAGTTCAACTGGTAGTATCTGAAATTATCGTACAAGAAACTAAAGATGCTTAGCAAGTTTCATGACATGAACATTTTGTGGAAATATTTTTATGTTGAACTATAAGGCACGTTAGATCATATTTACCGCCATTTCATTGCCTAATCCGTGCCTAATAGTAGTTAGCAGTAAATTATGTCATTTCTGGAGCTTTTCTGTAAGCAGGATCCAGGAGATTTTTTGCTAATCGTTATGGGGATGATATCAAGTAATCTTGTAATCGATATTTCAGGTATATTATAACTTGCATGCATAATTCAGTTTGTTGGTGTGACTATATACTGTTTATTTAATGGTGTAATGGCTTTCCTCAAACGACGTGGATATAAATTTCATGTTGACTTGGAGCTTCTACATTTAAGTGACGTACCATTGGTTAATGCTGTCCTTTTTGCTAAGGTATGATATTAATCAACTATGAGTTGGGTTGGCATTTTGCTCATATGATGGTTCATAACTATAAGTTGAACATTCATAGCGTACAAATAATAACTTATGCTATTTTTACAGGTTCGCTTATTGAATGGTGGTGCATTTGAAGGTGTAACGGAACGTGTCCAAGTACTCAATCATTCAGCTAATTGGAACAGTCATTTCAATTTCTCATGTCGAATTGCACCGGATCCCTTGACAGGCGTCCTTGAAAGATGTGCATGCAGAATTTCTCTTCGTAAAGTAAGTTTTGTATTGCATGTAAATGACGAATGAAATAACTTGTTATTTGACCAAAATTACACTGCGTAAAATATAAGCAGCAAGAATTACGAATAATTCATAGCGTTTTATAGCTCTTATTAACTTTCTTATAAATAATCGTGACAGTAATTACGAAGTTACTCGTTGTTTAGTGTGCTGTTGATTGGTTTTCTAAGCCAGCAATCATTCATGGGCATGTTGATATTATGACGATTTGTTGACACTATGGTCATTATTATTTTCAGGAGCAGAAAGGTGGCAAATCATATTCGAAACTTGGCTTCGTTGATATTAACTTGGCACAGTTTGCTGCATCAGGTGTTGAAGGGATAGCTCGTTCATATCTACTAGATGGTTATGGAATAAATCAACGTCAGGATAATTCTAGGATTCTGATTAAAGTCACAATGAGTCACCAAAGTGCGGATCCAATTTTTAAAGTGTAAGTTCATGAATTACCGCTAAAACATTTTCGGTTATTAACATCTATAAATATGAATAAAGATAAATTATGGGTTAAAAATATTCTATAAAAGGTAAGCAGTAGTTCACATGATTGGTTTATTGTGAAAGGCACAAAAGAATATGGTGCTCAAAAACAGTGTATGCTAGAATTTGCTTTGATTTGGATAAAAATATTTGAAAAAGAAAATAGTGTTTGAAAAATAAACAAGTTTTTTGAAAAAAAAGCACAATATCTCCATGTTTTAGGCACAAATTCTTTTTTGTAGGCCACGGAATGAGTCACTATCAGAAGAGTTAATCTTGAATCCAATGGATAGGAAAGCACCACCAAACGATGACTATCTTTCACAGAAAAAGGGAGACACTGATTCTGCTGATTCATCATCCATAGAAGATGTGTCGCAATGTCATGGTATTGTTTTTCATCTTGATCACATCCATTTCAGGATGATTTAATGATAACATTTGTATGTTCATATGACTTCATATGGATGGCATCACGCTTTAGCTCTTTACTAGTTTTAATAAGATCAAATAACCAAATCAGATCTTTATCTTCATAATATTTTGGTCATACGCGGCTCAACTTAAAGAATGAGAACATTTATATTGCAGATGATAGTTCTTTGGCAATCGCAGCAACGTCTGCTGGTATTTGCTTTGACCACTACGCAGTTGAAAATTCATTCAAAAACAATAGCCTGAAGAAATCGGATGTAATTCGGCGGAATATTGGTACAGCTTTGGCGCAGTCTAGGAGATTAAGTCAAGACAGGTAGAATAAAAATATATACGAAATTAAAGAGTAAAAGAATGAAAGGATGCAGAAAACATAATTTTTGCTCTTTTGGAGATATTTTATCTCATATAATTTCAAAAACTTTATGGAATTCTGTTTAGTTGAAGAATACTGTTGCAGATCTCAGATGGCTAAAAATAATGAATGCGTGAATGAAGCAGCTACAAGGATACGTGCTACACGTGTGGATGCGGAAGACTTGATTGATCGTATGTTACAAGAAACAGTCATCAGTGATAATGGATCCGAAGATCGGTCCGCTGATAGAGGTACTGTTAGTTCCGCCTAAATGATTGCAACTTAATTATAAACTGGAATTAAAAGTTTTGTTTAAAAAACATTTTAACGAAATGGTAATTGTATATATTATGGGTTTATTTAAAACTCTTTTGATCGAATAGAAGCAATAGTGTTATCTTTTTCATGTTTACATTTCAGGATTAGCACTTTTTGTATCAAGAAATGGTGAAGCGGTTGTAGGCGCAAATATGTTGCCCACAGATTCGTTCGAGCGTGTTCATATATCATCGGATGCAGGCTCACCGTTATCTAACGGTTGAATTTCATTTCTTGGATGTAGATAATTGAATATACTAAACTAGTGCATAGAATTTTTTAACGGGTTGTTTTCGTAGTTATATTTGTTTTCTCCACAGTATAAATATTTAACCTTTGTTCTTTTTTTCTTTTTTGCACCAATTTACTTTTTGATGTAATAAGGGTAGATCGATGTATTGACGATCGTTGATGAAAATTATGAAATTAGCTATAAAGTTAATAGAAAAATCAATTTATTTATCATAGATGAAAAGAGTTGAAGATGAAAACTTATTTGCTTTTAATTAATGGAAAACATGTAGCATGTTCGCTCCTCTGTCGTCTTATCGATCTTCTTATATTTATCGGTTTTTGTGAATTATTGGTTTCATACTATAGTTTAGTGGAATAATACTGTTGTGAAGATATTATACGGTTAGGAAATTGAAAGTTTGATATTGATTGCAACTATTTTATTTACTCGCATGGAACAGTGATTGAAATGAAGAGATTCATATTTATGTGACATACTTTCAGAGCTTTCGCTTTTGCTCATTTCACTTTTTGTTCTTTTTTTCGAATAATTGTGGGAAATAAAATGATTTTATCTAATGCGTAATATTCCCATAATTCATTCGTTATCACTGTTGGTTCCAACGTAAGTGCAAAAACATATTCATAATTTAATCACACTCCGCACTTGCATATCTCGCGATAACAAATTAAATTCACAAACATGAATAGGTTTGGAAATTCAGATAATTGCGCATATATATAAAGGACTGCATATCTGGAAATGATGATATATTACTCGCATTTTAAAATAATATTTTTAATTCAAGAATTATTTTGAATACTCAATCCTTGCGGTGTCATTTTATATAATGCAAGCATTTATTCAAGAAGCAATAATAATTTGGAGAAAGGCTATAGGCGATGAATAAAATCAAAAACAGAAACACGAAGAAAAATTAGAATAAACATACTAAAGGTTAATTAAATATAAAATTAATAAAATTCAAACAAACCGTGAATCAGTATCAAAATTTTCATAAACACAAGAAAAAACAACGGAAACAAATAAAAGCAATGGATAATAAGAATGTGCGACAAATAAAAGACATTATAACACTTTAATGATAAGAAAAGAAAAATTCACCGATATAACTCTGTTTTCTAGACATCTTTTTTTCTTTATTCTATTTTGTTAACTAAGTTTTATTCCACTTTTTTTTACTCCATTTTAATACTGTAAATATATTTTGATATTGCAAATTATTTTTAGTTTTTACATGCTTCTCTTCACCTCGATTTTTGTATCCCATTTTGTTAACAAAACATATTTATTACATAACTTTCGTCTCCACATACTTTTATTCCCATAACCTTTGTATGTTATTTTCTTATTAATTAACTTTTGTTCCCACATTCTCTATTCTTTTAAAGATAAAAGATGAATTTTAAGGAGACTTATTTTCAGTACTGAATTTGTTAATCATGAATTAAAAATAGCAATACCACTGATAACAGTATCGAGAGAGCGCAGTGGTTATTCTGCCATGTTCAAATCTTTAATGTTTTAAAAAAAAATATTATGTAAGAGCAAAAAATTGAAAGGATTTACAAATAAAGCCATACAAAAAGCTCACAAAAAAACGAAACACAATTGGGAAAAAATATGTATGCATGCAATCTGAATCACTTATATTGCAAGTAAATTTGCAAGAAATGATAAGTTAAGGCAATCAGCAAGATCTTCCACAGAATAAGAAAGAGCAAGATAACACGCAAAATGCAAAAGTAAGAAAAACAAACAAAAATTAAAAGTATTTCATAGAATGGAATTATTTAGCAGAATTATTGTAAAAGAAGATCTCAGATTTCATTTAAAACTACTATTTCTATTCAAAAGTATATAGTATATTCATCGGCTTGTTCACTTGACAGTCAAAAAATTGTGCATTTTTTGAAAAAAAAGTGCCTAGAATTCATACCTAATTGCAAGTAAATGTAAAATAATCTTTTTAATAAGTAAAATGAGAAAAGATAATTTAGATTTAACATATGTAACAGAAATGTTCTACAATAAATAATGCTGTAATAGAAATGAGAATAAAAAAATTCTTTATTTTGCAAATAGTAACTTAGAAAATGCTAATTACGTAAATCTTATAGCGAAAATTTCTGCAAAATGTATGAAAACCAAATGGAATTAGACGATATGAAGATATATAAAGTAAATTACATAAATAAAAGGATGTGAAAAAAATAACACTGATAACAAAATGCATATATAACACCGAATGAAATGAATTTTAAAAAGTTTCTATTGAAAAAAAAAATCAAATATTACAAACATAATGTAACGATATGAGATAAAGATCATTGCTTGAAATGAATGGAATATTAGCAAAGTTAAATGGATACAAGAAAAAATTATCTTATCAAACAATAAAATAGTAAATCAGACAATAATATCTTTACGTTATCTTGCATAATTTCATAAATTTTAATAAGTAATTGCAATCTTTTTAGACTACCATTTTATTCGCACTGTTTCCATCGTTAAGTTCACTCCAAAAGTTGCATGGATAATTATAATTTGTGAGTAATTTGTTCCAATAATTAATTTGGTAATTAATTTACACAATTTATTGAATGGTTTATAATGAAGAGAAGAAATGAATAGCAATAGAAAAGTTTTCATGTGAAGGTGAACTTAAAAAAAGTGACTTATTGAATGAAATACGGCCGTGAAAATGATAAATTTCGACAAAACAAATCGCTTTTGAACATTCCCAAAACTCCAGTTTTGCTCAGCTTCACTTTATCCAAATTTGATAAATTTTGTTTAAAAAAACTATTGCAAATTAAAATATTTTTAATGAAATGAAGTGAAATCAGTTAGTTTTCAATACATATGTGATAATTTATGCAATAATTCAAAAAAAAAAACAGATTGCTCTAATTTGATCATTTGCTGAATGGTTGTATGCGTTAGCCGCTTCTCAGCTCGTTTCCATGTTAATCAATTGAATTGTCGTTTACTTTTCATTGTCTTCGAGAAATTAAGCATAATTTTAAAATTCCTAACATGATATTTACTACAGCATTTATTACAAGAAAAATATCATTATTTCATTTAGTATTGTTTTTTTAATAAATAGAAAAGAGGAAAAAAAATAAGCAAAAGAAAAAAGGGAAAAAGAAAAAAATTTACGTTGTTTGAAATGTGGTAAAACATATTTATTTGATTTAGACATAAATTGTGAAGGATCGCCTTAACTTCCTTTTATTATAATCCGTAAGAGTTAAGTTTTTGTTAAATAAGTTTGCTTTTCATTCAAATCAGTTAAGTATTTTGCGAATCTCCCATCACATAAGTTTCATTTACTATCGGTTATGAGTTCAGCATTTTTTGACAGAATCATCAAATTTTTGTAATTACTTTTTCGGTTTATTTAGCAAACTTAACAAATAACAATCCTTTAATTTGATCTCTGTGTTCTGCTATAATCATAATTCATTGAGTTGGGGAAAAGATAGACTTATTGCGAGCCACAAATTAAAGTGTATTTAATTTTACTTATGACACCTGTTGACAAACTTAAATTAAATTTTAGCACAAAAATTACCAAGGTATTCGATAGCTCTATAAAAAGATCCTGAAATCTTCACGCATTAAAGGGCTTTTTTCCGAGCAATTAAAATGGTCCTGCACGAAGCAACTTTTTTTGAATATCTTTTCCAGTCGTTTCTTTTTTCGTTTCTCTTTCTTTGCCATATTCTGTGCTATAACAAATAGGAAAGATAAAAAAAAAGTCGAAAAACCTAAAGTGAAAAAAAATAAAAGAACGTAAAATAAAAAAGAATGAAGAAAAGAGAACAGATAAAGGGGAAAAGAAAGAAGGAAAGAAAAGTAATAATACACGAAGGAAAAAGTAACAAAACGATAAGAAAACTTGCTGCAACAGAATTATATTCGAAGTTGACGAAGCTAAGCAGCTATCAATGTACGACAGACATCAGAAAAAAGAGTTATGGTAGAGAAAAAGAGGGAATGGTGAAGTATTCAAAATGAACTTCAAAATATTAAGAATTTAAATATTCATTCTAATTTACTAATGATTCGAAATCTCACTCTACTCTTTTTTACATTCTTTCTCACTACGCTTTGATAATAATGTTATCATGATATTTGAATATTTTTGAACATAATGAATTTCGAGAGATGAGACAAGCGTAGTTGTCGTTATGGAGTAAGCGTAGACGTTATTATGACTGGTACACTTTTGTAACTTCAAAACAATTTAATTCAAAAACAATTTAAAGCGTTTTCTAATACTAATGATTTATATGTTGATTTGTAATTTGTTTGGGTGTTATGATTTTGTTTTCTCAATTAATTTTATTTTCATAACAGTATGTTTTTGTAAAATTGGTTATTGATCAAGATTAGTAATGAAACAAAGTGGATAACTGTCAATCAGAGGAAAATATAACGGAATTTGTGATGGCAAAATATGATTGTTTATCAGATTAGCGCTTTTCGGTTTGTTTCTCCCTGAAATATTTTAATGAGATGGGTTTCTATAAAAGAAAATCTAAAAACAATCATCCCTCAGTGAATTTGTTAGTTGAATTTTTCCATTTCAAATTCGTTGAGCGATGAGAGTTAATACTTTGACATATTTTTAGAGAGATATATTTGTGATAAAATCTTTTACTTCCTTAGCTGAAATAATTAATTTAATCAAATAATAAAAAAGTGAAGAATGAATGAACTTAGAAGGGTCTCATTTATTGAATTGAATTTTAATCTATAAGTGCACCTTATTATAAAATAATTTATACAACACTTTATTACTTTTTCCTAACCTTTCCATTAAATAATTATGATTTCCAGAAAATATTGCGAATGAAATTTCATATAATTATTTCACTTCTATTTGCAGTAATTCATTACAATTTCGCACTTCCGGCATACATCACAGGTTGTTTTGTAGAAAAATATTATCATTATCAATTTATTAATTATTACCTGAAAAATGGAAAAATGTAATTTTCTCATATTTTAACATCATGAAATAGCATGCATTGTCTTGCAGATTTTCGAAAAGGTACTAATCAAGCAAATTTGGAAACAGCTCCTGCGAATACTATTAATTCACTCATATATGAAAAACTCTTCTCAATTGACGAAAATTTGCTCAAGTAATAATTTCTAATTTGCATTTATCAATTAATACTTCTTTTGAGATATAATTAAATCAGAAAAAGTAAATTCAAAAATATTTTTTCAAAGTTTAAACACATTTTTTTCTTTAAAACTACAGCCAAAACATCTCCAAGGAATGCGCTGAACAACTTCATAAAATTGTGCAGAATCCACATATTAAAGTAATACCAACACGGTTGTTGTTGCAACATTTGAAATCGTGTCATCCCCTGAATCAGGTCTGAATCCGTTTTTGTTCGTTTCTTCGATTTGATATATATATATGCATTATTTCTGTTCTAATACTTATTTATATTACTTATTTCTGTTCTAATATTTATTTACATATATACATGAGCTGAAGTTAACGATGATTACAATTTTTGTTAATAATGATGCTACTTCCTTCGATTTGATATATATATATATATATATGCATTATTTCTCAAAGAAGTTATCAAAAAAATGTTATCTTGAAAATTTTGTTTCATTTAAAAAATGAGCTATTTCGTATATTTTATGACCAGAAAGAAAGGATGACTTAGACTTAGTATTTCGAATCTCGCAGTTAAACCGTACTTAATGATCATGAATTGAATGGGTGAATGAGACCTAAAGATTAGGCTACATTCTGTCTATAAGCACTCGTTGGGATGCACGATATTTATCTCATTTCCAATAAACAGACAGGTGTTATCAAGTTTGAAATGTTTCATCTAATTCAAAAAAAAAAAAATTCTGAATTTTGCTGTTCTGTGGACAACCTCACTTGTCAAATCGCTCGGTCGTGCTTCAAAATTTATGCTTGGAGTGACTATTACCTTAAACGTTTAGAATTGCAGTCCTCACATTTTATTTTTTAAAACGTTTGATTTTCGATTGAAATTAAAGAAAAAAACAAAATTCTACGGCTTTTTTAGAATCCGAGACGAAAACGGATGATAAACCAACAGTTATGCGAGACTGAACGTGTCATTGTGCATATGAATGATGAAAATCAGGAATTCATTCCTCCTTTTTATACAGAAGTATACTGCAAAGTGCGACGAGAACAGGGAAAGAAGACGGAACAAGTATCACATTGAAATAATTATTTCTTTTGAAGAAATTGATCCGCTTCATAAATAGTCTTACGAGAATAAGTGAATATCACGTCTGAAAATAATCTTCAACGGGATATTTTGACGTACACTTAGAAGACTGAAATAAATGAAATGCTGTAGTTTTATTATTGAATCATGAATTGAGTTAAGATAAGACATCCATGAAAATATTCCTGTGAAAATCAAAAAAATTAATAAGTCACTAATTAGAAATGTATTTTTTAAGTTATGTTTGAAAGCACTTTTAAAAAATTCTTCAGAAGGTTAGTGACTTTGTCAGTTGCTCTTATTGTAAAACCTAACGTTACAATTGTTAGCCAAACATATATTTTCCGATATTTTTCGAGTTTGCATGAAAAAAACTGACTGCCTCTATCAGTTTCATAATGGCTTTTGATTTAATCTGAAAAGTTCATCGATTTAAAATATGTCTATAACCCAACTCATTTTTTCAACTTGTATTCAGCCTCAACGATCTACCTATGATATGGTTTAAAGCTAATTGAATACTCAGTAATTAAACATTCCCGATTCAAAATAGTTAGATTTGCAGATGTGTGCAAATGGTCAGTTGCGCTGTGTGCAGATCTTCGGTGAAGTAAATTTTGTGCGTCGGCAAAAAGGCGATGTTGGATTTAAACCTTATAAGATTCATAATGTACCACGATCATGTGATTGTATGTGGCAGGCAGATATATTTGGAGAACATAACTATGAAGATTAATGTATTATTTTACATTTCAGTTCAGATATAATCATATTAATTAACTCATATGAACTATTAATTATTAATCTGTGTGAGAATGTATTCAAAAATTTAGATTGAATATCTAAAAAAAATTAACAATGGGTTTTCGATTTTGGAAATAAATTATTTTTGGTCATTTTGAAGATGAGTAATTCTTATATTTTGTGTTATCAGTCGAGCTATTAGCACTTACGTTTTAGTTACTTATTATTTCAGCTTCTGATTTAACCATGCTTATTTACACAATCCATTTCTAAATATGATTCGAACGATCATTTTGCATAGATAGAGGAAAATAAATTGATAATTTCATTGGCTGCTTCCCGAACACTTCTCATTGCAGTTCACTTTGCATTACAGCTTCTTGGCCAACCTTACAATGTTTCATTGTCTCCAAAATATGAGCAAATTACGCATTTAACGCACAAACAAACAATATATGCACAATTCATTACAATTTCGCACTTCCGGCTAACGTAATTTTGTGCTATTTCTGAACATTTCGAAGCATATATTTGTGGAAGTTATTTATTGAAAATTTCATATAAAGCAATTATATGAACTTCTGTTCTAACAGAATTATTTATATAGCTTCATAAAAATAAATTTAATTTAACAAATAATTCATATCAAAACGAAATACAGGTAAATATAATGGAAAAGCGAATGTGAATTGTTCGCTGATTCACAGATCGTATGTGATCCGCAAATTTTACTCGAAAAATTTTACTCTGCTGAAGACATCTCGTACATTATACAGACGATCCCTCCTATTGATTTAAAAATCAATGATATCGATGATGTAATAGAAAATAGTAATATCTGAAATAGGCTTGACATAAATTGCTGCTTAATTGTTCTGAATCAAATGGATATTATTTCAGACTTTTCTTGTCAAACTGTACTTCGTCTACTTCTATTCTTAACCATTACTTTGATATATAATTAAAAGATAGGTTTCTAATTTCTTTTATTTTCTCACATCCGTTACCAATTTTTTTAATGCAAACTGTTTAATTAATGAAATTCTTCTAATTAATAAAGAATTTTTTTACAGCAATCAATATTTTTCAAATGGAATTTATGGGTTTTTTTGTCCTTTTTTATTTTTATAATTATTACGACTATCGAATCTTTAAAGTTGTATAAAATTTGCTGTGCATATATTGTTTGTTTGTGCGTTAAATGCGTAATTTGCTCATATTTTGGAGACAATGAAACATTGTAAGGTTGGCCAAGAAGCTGTAATGCAAAGTGAACTGCAATGAGAAGTGTTCGGGAAGCAGCCAATGAAATTATCAATTTATTTTCTTCTACCTATGCCAAATGATCGTTCGAATCATATTTAGAAATGAATGGAAAAATTTAATTTTCTCATATTTTAGCATCACGAAATAGCATGCACTGTCTTGCAGATTTTTGAAAAGGTACTAATCAAACAAATTTGAAAACAGCTCCTGCGAATACTATTAATTCACTCATATATGAAAAACTCTTCTCAATTGACAAAAATTTGCAAAGTAATAATTAAAATTAAAGTGCTAAAGTAATAAATTCTAATTTGCATTTATCAATTAATACTTCTTTTGAGATATAATTAAATCAGAAAAAGTAAATTTAAAAATATTTTTTCAAAGTTTAAACACATTTTTTTCTTCAAATAAAACTACAGCCGAAACATCTCCGAGAAATGCGTTGAACAACTTTATAAAATTGTGCAGAATCCACATATTGAAGCAATACCAACACGGTTGTTGTTGCAACATTTGGAATCGTGTCATCCTCTGAATCAGGTCTGAATCCGTTTTTGTTCGTTTCTTCGATTTGATATATATATATATATATATACTTATTTATTTACATATATACATTTATTTACATATTTTACTATTAACTTTAACTTTGCATGCTTTTTTATTTATTTTACTTTTATATTACTGCATTAATTTTTCATGTCTCTTCTATAATATTGATTTTAATTTTGCATACTTTTTTGTTCCCTTTATTTTTATATTATTATATTGATTTTGTATGTTTTTTTATTAATTTCACTTTATATTATTACTTTTCATTTTTTTAATATTTTGTTCCTTTCTCATTCTTTTGAACTCATCTTTGTATACTTATTCGACATTTTTTAACAATTATTCCACGGTTAGATTTCTTTATTCGCTTCATTTTTGCATGTTATTTTGTTATTAATAAATTTCTTATTCACTTTAATATTTGCATGCTATTTTATTAATGTTTTTTTGATGTTTCTTGTTAATTAATTTTTTGGTTAATTTGATGAAATTTTTTGTTGCTCCAGTACTGCACATCTGCGCCACGGCCGCAATTATGGTTAAATTAGTTCTCGTAAAAGATGAAATGAATTTAAACAGATTTCAAATTGTGCAAAAATTATGCAAGGATATGGCTAAGTTTTATAAACACTTCAATTATAATATTATACGGTACTCATAATTATTATACAAGCATTGAATTTATCGCATTTTTAATTGAATTATAATGAAAGAATAGATATGAATGAGTGATTACCATTGTAATAGTATTTTGAAAATGCGGTGAAATGTGTCAACGATTTTTGTGAGTAAAATTTTTAATTATACTAAAATTTATTTTATAACAGGAAATGATGCACTCATGTTTTTCATTCCTCAGTTAGCTAATTTGTCTTCTACAAACACAATATGCTTTAAGTTTATTCTGAAATCACTTAATTTTTCTCGTATGACCTTCTTTTTTCTCTTTTTTCTCTCATTCAGAGTTGAAATATCAATGAATTGATCTTAAAAAGTATTTTAATATATATTTTTATTGATTAGAGAAAATATGTTTATATATATCAATCTAGCAAGCTTTATTTTTTTCGAGCACTCTTTCTAAATTCTTATATTTGAATTGAACCACTGCTATTGTTTGTGATATAGGCTGTTGAGGGGATATACTGAATTATAACTAAATACAATCAAAAATCGAATTCGTATTAACAAAAGATAAAAATTTTGGAAAAAGGAATAAAATTTTTTTTTTTACATTTTAGTAGACTTAATGTATTGTAAAATAATATTTCTCATTTATCTGATTAATTTATAACAAACTAAATGATTATCAAATATTGAATTAATTATTGACGAATCCTAATTTATCCACTCAATTTTTGGGATGAATTATCGATTTAACAATATCAAACAAAATAAGCAATGCAGGTGAAACAATATTTAAAACAGATTGCAAATAACTATTAACCTTGTTAGAATTAATTGTACAAGTCAAGTAATGAATATATTACTTGATATGTAATCTTCTTCACTCTTCTGACTTATATTTCGTTCATTTTATCTCATATGCTTGTAATAAAGTAATAGTAACATTTGACTTAATAAGTATTAAATGAAATTCTGCAAAAATTATATTTTTATGTGGGAATAAGATGAACTACTGATTTTTTTTCCTTTCTTTGCGTAAAATCTGTAAAATAATCTGAATCTGTAGAACTGTCTGTTATAATCTGTAAAATAACCTAACCAAAGAATTCACAGATATTTATTAAAACATATCAAAAAGAAAAAGAAAATGAAATGAAATGGACTATTTTATAAATGAAAGTTTAATCGCTCAAAAAATGGTCATTTGATTTCTTTTTCTTCATTTAATGTTTGTCCATTCAATGAATCATTTCATTTCACTTATTTTTTCCATCATTCTCAATTACTCCTCTCTTGCAATTGTTATTTTGTTAGCACTCAAGCAAACATTCAATACTGGTTATTGTAGTAAAAGTAGCAGCAATAGTAATGGTAAGATTCTCGCAGTGGATATTACCAATTTACCGAAGTTTTTCGGTATGTACGTCTGTATGTGTCTCTCTGTGTGTGTGTGTGTGTGTGTGTGTGTGTGTGTGTGTGTGTCTGTGTCTGTGTGTGTGGATGTGTGTGTATGTGTATATGCGACAACGTAAAAATTGTCTCAAAACATGAATTGGATAGCATTAAGACCAGTTCGATTAGTTATGGGGAAGAGTTACACGGTATGCACACAATCGTAAATTCGTACAATTTAGAAAAGTTGAATTGTATCGGTCAGTGCAATCAGTCCAATTATACATTATTGTTTCATACTGAGGTGTGTATGTGTTTGTATTTTATGTCCGTCTGCTTATTTATCCATTAATTGCTATAGCTATTATTTATCATGCTGATATTTCATCTTATCATTTTATCAGTAAGTTTCACTATCATTTTTGTTCATAATTATTCACTAATCTTTTAGCTTTTTTTTTGTTTCCATGCATTAAAATATTATTTTAATATATTATTTTCTGGTGATAATAATGATTTATTGCTTAATATTAGTGATAGCATTTAAAGAAAATTCCATAATGTTATTAAATGACATTCAATGATTCGGAAACCAAGCTGTTAATTAATTATTATACTGTTTCGATATTTTGCATTAATCTTTTCGGTTAGCAAGTATATCACATTTGGTAAATTCTTATAGCATCAACTGTAATAAAATAAAAATAGTCCTTTTATTATTTACACGGATATATCATAAACACTTCATATTTGCATATGGCTTTAGGCATATTTACTCGGAATATTATCTGCAAACTTTCCCGCAGCATTCGAATGTAAGTCAGGTGTGAATATCACAAAGGCAAATCCTTCCGATAACAGAACATACTTCTTTTGTAATGCTAATGGGTAATTAATTAATTTTTAATTATGATTTTTCAAAATATTTTCAAGTTGACATTTTAAACTTCTATTTCTAGAATAAGGGGAAAAATAAATTATTTGCATATGAAAATAGCATTAAAAAATATTCCTGATTAGCATATTACAATGATTAAGATTATTTTAGCACTTTGATCATTTTTTTTTTGTAAAATTAACATTTTGTAATTTCTTTAAAGGAATTTTTTCCCTATAATTTTGCAGACAATTTATGAAGCGCAAATGTCCAGATGATAAGAGCTTTAATGCAACATCGTTGGAATGTGTAAATGAACCACAATTAGCAAATGACATCGATCCGTTCTTATTGCCTCAATTTCAGGCACCCGGTAAAAGAAAAAAAAGAAAACACAATTTTGACGCTTCTGATTAAATCTTTCATCTTTCATCTAAATTTTCATTTAGTAACACAAAATTATATTTTACTTTTTTTAAAATCAAAATTAACAAATATTTTAAATTATCATTGTGCAAATGCATAAATCTATGAGAACGCATAGTTCATAACATCAGAATCAATTTAAAATCACATTGAAATTATATCGTAACAATTCAAATTAAATAAATTAAACTCCAATAATATTGATGCGTAGCAAAAATAATGCAATTATTGCGCATGTAGCAATTTCGTTTTTTATTAAAAATCATGTAAAATGTATTGGATCCACTTCTTATTTACATAAGTAAATAGCATTTCGATGCTTATTTATCATCTGTAACATACATCATTAGTCATCTTTAGAAATCCATATCAAGATGATAATTATCATGATACAGTTGAGCTAACCAATAAATTTAAGTTATTTCGAAATTAATACAGTAAAGTAAGTAATAGTAACATAAGCTGAACAAATATATGAAAGATAAATTGATTTTAAAGGATATTGGCTTCATTCTTATTATATAAATAAACAACAATTCGAGGGGTCATATTTTAGATGATCTTTGTGGTGGTGGCATTCCAATGACTCGTTTAAGTTCTCCAGTTATTTGTAATCCATCAATTATTAGCTGTCCCGATGGTTAGTCATTTTAATTTGCCTTATTTGTTCTGCTCTTTATTTATATCAACAAAGCAATTTATTTGCTAATCCAGTAATATTTTTGTTTTCTTCATCTCATTTTCTAATTTCTTTGTAAAAACTAAATGATATCAGTTGATTATTGTTAACATATCTTTTATAATCTGTTCCTTATTGCAATTAATACTTACAATCAATTAGGATATGTTTGCACGATATATGCAAAAACGGGTACTGCATATTGTTGTCAAGCTGGGAGTGAAATGTTGGGAGATAATGAAGATGATTATTGTCCGGATAATCAAGTAACCTATCTTGAGGTATCAGACATTCACTAATTGCCATTAAATGGTAGTATAACAAACTATTTGAAAACATTCTTTTATGATTTCTTTTTTGTTGCACTGAAATGTTTCTAATTTTCTTTAATTATTTTTATAAGTTTATAAGTTGAATTGTTAAGATTCTTTTATGATAATATCATAAAATTTTAGCATAGCATACTTTTTTTCTTTGTTAAATAAAATGTCATTTATTTAACAATACTTGCTGCATTATTAATGAAAGTTAAGACAGCAAAAAAATGATTTTTATTGAGGAATGCTTACAGGTGACGAATGGAAAACCGCGAAGTTGCTCATTAACTTCCGACAATTCATGTCCAACAGGTTTCACCTGTACTGTAATACGAGATGTTATCACAGATAAATCATTATCCCGATGTTGTGGTGAAAATTTCGGCTGTCCACAAAATTCCGCTGCACAAATTAATCCCATTACTGGTTCCTTTGTTTCCTGTTCCACTACATCAGCAAGGTATTTTCCAGTAATGTTTTGAATTTTTTTTTATTTCAAGATAACAATAAATAAGTAATGAAAAACTTTTTAGAAAAGTAAAAACAAAAAAGAAATTGCGCCATTATTTTCCAATTATTAATTAGTGTCTAAAAATATTAAATAGCGAGAATAGCAAAAAAAAAAAAACGAATAACACTGAGATGCTAAATATGAACTTAAATGATTTTTTTTTACTTTTAAAACTTATAGTTCGTGTCAAAATGGTTTTGCTTGTGTTCGAAGTACTGTTTTTGATAGATCAATCTGTTGTTCGGAGACAAATTCAGCATCACATGGTAAGTTCAAATATTTTTTCAACATTTTTTTTTTGAGAAAAATTTTAAGCGAATTTTTATTTAAGTGAAATTTGAAAAAATTTAGAAATAATTATATAATCTAAGAGAATTGAACCGAAATTAACAGCAAATCATTGTTTCAATGAATGAATTTTTTAGATTTTTGTCCGGCTGGTAAAGCTTTAAATAATGGTGCTGCGGAATGTTCTGAGAAATTACCATGTCGTGATGGATACTTTTGCGTAACAAACGGAACTAAAAATTACTGCTGTCCGTCACACGGTGAGCTCTTTCTAACAATAATTGATTATAATAATGCTAAAAGGATTTGTGATAAATTTATTTCTGGTAAAAAGTTAAATATGTTTCGACCGAAAAAATGTTAACATCCAATCGTATTATTTCCAACAGCGTATAAATTCTTACTTGGCCATTCTCTCTACATTGGCTGTAATTGATTCTTTTCTTTTTTTGCTACAGCCTGAAATATTTAATTCCAAACCAATTTCTTAACTGAGCCAAACTTTTATCTAAGAAAAGAAAAAAAAAATAGAAAAATAAAATTGAAAAAAATCAGTAGAGAGGAAGGATAAGACCAATTAATTCAAAATAAATTTAAATTCTACATTAATTAATTCCTGTATGCTACGATCAACATACAAGTTAACCTTTATGAGAATTTAATCATATATTTAATTCTTACTGCTGTTGCTAATTTCAGAAAATGTTTGCACGTTACCACGTGAAATCGGTAATTGTTGGCATAAAAGATCGGAATTATCCGTCACGCGGTTTTATTTCGATACTAAAACAGGCACTTGTCGATCGTTTAACTATAGCGGTTGTGGCGGTAACGATAATAATTTCCTTAATTTGGATCAGTGCAATGGATTTTGTCTTTCTCGTAAATTTTACTTGAAATTTTTTACATTCTTTAATCTTCAATAATTTGCAATGAATCAAAAATAACGATGAGAAGAATAACGATCATCATCAATAAACATAATTAAAAATTCATAAAAGATAATCAGTGGATAAAAATAAACATTAGCTATTCTAAATAATGATATTAAACTTGAAATATGTGATGCAATATGGAAAAATACGATGTTTACTTTACTTCAATCGACGATTTAATATGCCATTTGGACATTAAAACTGGTATACATAGAAAATATTGGTATAAGAAGTGAACTCAAAAGTAAACAAAATTTCAGTTTAATTTAGTAATTTCATTCATTCATCGCCGTTTCAGAACAATGCGAAATCGGAATAGCATATCGTATGGATGCGTTAAATGCTGCATGCTCACCGCATATGCCAAATACGTGTCCTAAGCAATTTACCTGTCGTGAGCCACTTTTTGGACCCGTATCCATATGTTGTCCTAATCCAGGTTAAATAACTTAAATAAGCAAACATTAATGTTTTATGCAGTTTATATCGAATAATTCATAATCATATTCGGCAGATATATTAATTTTCATTTTGCATATAATACCTACAAAACTACAAAACGAAATTTAATATTTCTATTGGATGTGACTATAAATTATTGATTCTTTAAATAAAAAAACAACAAAAATCAACTTACTTTACATTTTAATCTTCGACTGTTACATAATTATCAACCGATCATATCCAACTTTAAGGATCAAATAAAAAATATTTTTTTTCCAAGAATTTGCTAACATGTCATAAATAAGTTGTAATTATCGATATATGATAGCAATATTTTCTTTTGTATAGAATACTCATAATATGCTCATGGAGCCAATATTTGTAAGATTTTTGAGAAGGTGAAAAAATATGAAATTTGTAGAGATGGTATGCAAGGAAATGCCATCTGCTGGAACAAATTGTTTCGGTCGAAGAATAGCTATTCAGCGATATTATTTTGATCGAACAACAAAACAATGTCGACCTTTTGAATATTTCGGATGTTCTGGCAACAGTAATAATTTTCGCAACAAAGTGGATTGTGAAAATTTTTGCTTAGCCAATCTTGATAACGGTAATTGATATAATTAAAATTTAATAAAAATATTAGCATAATGTTACAATAAAAAATTAACATTTATCGTATAATTTTCAATAAAAATTATTATCACAATGTATTACAGTATGTGATGGTAGCGCTCCATTGAAAGATCCGAGTGGACGGTTACAAAAATGTACATCAGCTATGGCATGTCCTTCCGGATATAATTGCAACGCTAAAAAGTACTGTTGTCCAACATCTGGTCAGTATTCTCTTATAATTAAAGGATATTATCTATTATTTCTAAAAACCATTTATTATATCAATGATAAAAAAGTTAAAGTTATGATAATTATAATAATCTCCTAATAATCCTGATGAAAACGATGACAGAATGAGTCACTGGCTAATATCAATCTTAAAAAAGATTAGCTGTAAAGAGTCAGGCGCAAAATATTATCGTAATAAGAAATTTTAATGGCCGTGTTGAATATTTTTTGTTTCAGAATTTGCATGTACGGTATCAATGAGTAGTGGACGTTCATGTGCAAATAGCATGCAACGTGCCGCATGGTATTATAATGCAATTACTGAAAGTTGCATGCAATTCATGTATTTGGGTATGCAAAACCATTTGATTTTTAAGTAAATAAGTTTAATAAAGAAAAAAACTAATTATACAATAATTTTTGACTCCGTGACAGATATCATTTTTCTATACCGTACAATTTAAAATAAATCATAGGTTGTGATGGTACCGCAAACCGTTTTACAAGTCAGGAAGCATGCATAATGCATTGTGCTAAAGGATCTATCAAATTTGGACAATGTCCATTGGGAATGTCACCGTATATATCTGATGGAAATAAATTACCTCAGGTTTTTCTACTGCTTACTATATTTCTCATCCTTGAAGTTTTGATGTCTAATTATTGATATCATAAGTGAGACGATCCCAAAAATTTTCAAAATAATAGATTCTATTATATAAAATTCAAAAAGTGAAATAAAAAAACAAATAGAGGGAGAAATAGAAAAAAAAGAACGACGAATAAAATAAAATGATTAAAACTTGGATTAAATGGAATAATTTAATAATTATCATAGTATATAGAACTCTCATATTAGGTGCAGAAAGAACTATGAAGATATGAAATTGGTTATGGTAAATCCGAAGATACGGTAATTTATGATGGTTAGAGGAATAATCAAACGATAAATGATTCTTACTGAAATGTGATTGATTTTAATATTGTATGTTCAGATGTGCAAATTGAATGTTATGGGTTCATGTCCGGCATTATCTTCATGTGTTCCATCAACAACAAATACTCCGATTTGTTGCAAAACCGAAGCAACCTGTCCCGAAAAACAAATACCGTATATTATTCCGGGTGAATCATTTCTAGCCTTTTAACTTTAATTATTGTTGTAAAGTTAAAGAAACCAATTTTTATTTTTTTTTTGCAGGCTCGGATTCAACGGTAAGCTGTCAACCGAATAGAGAAAATTGTCCATTATCATCGGAATGTGTGGAAAGGTAAAACATCATATATGTATATACCTCATTTACTGAAATATATTTGACAACAGTTTTTAATTTTAATCAATGACTTGTTCAAGATGAAGGAAATTTTTAATGGCTAATGAATGAAAAGGAAGTAATGACAGCAATGCATTATTTAAAAATTACCAAAGATGGGATATAAGCATAATTCTAATCGTTCATTGTACAGAAATCAATAAATAAAATGAATTTTGATTGTTTGTTTGGATGGTAGTGGAATGTGATACAGTATTTAGAATGAAATTATGGTAATGGAATGTGATACAGTATCTATTCTAGATCGGATCAGATACTGTAACAAAAATTATTGTTCAAAAATCAAACGAAAATTGTGCACAAGAACGAGTTAAAATAATTGGTAAATAGGGGATGCAATAAATTATGGTTAAATTTTAGCTCAATAAAAGGTTTTTATATGTGCTGCTTACGATCAAGCAGTAAATCGCTGGACATAAATTCAAATTTCGATATTGATTGTCCAGAAAATCTTCCAACAAATGGTCAATATTGTCAAATAAATGGTGACGATGTGTGTCCCAAAGGATATATTTGCTTGAATCGTTTACCTTCAGCGGAAGGTTTATGTTGCAAAACGAAACCTGCATGTCTGAAGGGAAAGACACATTTTATTTATGGACAAAAGGTATGTCAGTTGTAAAAATTCTGATATGAGATGGAAAACATTTACTAAATTCTCGATCGCTTCCTACACCTTAAAATCACTGAGAGATTAGAGTTACTTCGGACATGATATATAATATATGTGTTATAGTAAGTTTGTCAGGTATTAATAGTCTATCTGTTCATAAAATTCTAAAACTTGCTAGATCACTAAAGTTACTGAGAGTTACAGTTTAATTGTAAAAATTCACGATCGATTAGCTATCTGACCAGATGGAAATATTTGATATCCGAACGGCTTCAACTAAACAAATATGTAATGTTCATTCCCGTTTATGATTAGAATCATTCATATTTACCGGTCAATGATTGCTGCAAATTTTTTTTGTTGCTCAGGCACAGATTTGCGGTCCAGAATTGGATGCATGCCCAAAAGGTACGGCATGTTTGGTATCATCCGTGCCCACTGTTAGTGTATGTTGCAAATTTGCTTCACTTCCAGCTGCAGCATCAAAATTCTCGCGATCCAATCTGATCACACCGCTATGCTCAAACGGTCGAACACCCTTCTATGATCCCGGTAATTTTTGATCTTTTAGTTTCCAATCCTTACTTTGATGATTTCTTTAGTATAATTTGCAACTTTTAAGCTTATATCACAATTTATTAATTTGAAACTACAATAACATTATGGGCCTTTAAAAAAAGTTGGAATTTTTATGCATATGTCATGAAATTGGTAACAAATAGTGTTGATAACGTCGCAGTATATTATATTTACAGGTTCGCGAACACCAAGACAATGTTTAACATCACGTCGTGGCCAATGTCCTAGTAAATTTAATTGTCAAGTAGCTAAATCTGGTGGCTTGTATTATTGTTGTCCGGTTTCACCATACGAATGTGTTAATGGACGTAAAGCTTATACAGCACCCGGTTCATCGATTCCACAAACGTGTAACGTAAATTTCAATAGCTGCCCACCAGGTTACAGGTCAATATGTCTGGTCATTTACCAGCTAGATTGTTTCTCTTTATCAACTAATGTCAAACTAGTATCGAGTTATTTTTGTTATTCTTGAATCGAAAAAAAAACGGGTTAATCTGACAGCATTTTGCTAACTACAAATGCTATGATATGATTTGTCAGAAAAAAAAAGATTTTTTTTTTATAGTTGTCATCCATCTGCAGATGGTTCTGCCACATACTGTTGCTTGGATGTTGCATCAGAAGCGGAATGTCCCATTGGTGCTTCACCATATCTTTATGCAAATCGTCCATTAGCATGTCCAGCCGGATCAAATCATTGTCCAGCCGGTTACGGTTGTGTCAGATCAACAGTTTACACAGTACATCTCTGTTGCTCCTTCTCACTTTCTCCGATGCCAACGTGCACTGATGGCATTGCTTACATCGAACCAGGCAGGCACTTTTACCAATCTCTTCTCATATTGCTATTTTACTCAGAATTTAAAATGTCTTTTTTTGCAAATTTAATCGCATATTTTCGTATTTTTTATTATTGTAGTATATAATTTGAAAAAATAAAATGAGGAAGAATAGACGGAAGAGAAAAAGAATGTAAAATTGAATTTATTCTTCAGTATCAAGCGAACCGCAAACTTGTTTACCAATGATAAATAATTGTCCATCTGGTTATCAATGTAAAGAAAGCTCAATATTGGGTCATTACTTGTGTTGTACTTCAGGACATTTAAATACCCGTTATACTGGTTACTTTTTTATTTCACTTTCTAGAAATAAAGAGGAATATTGTAGCAGTAAGCAATAAAAAAATGACCCATAAAGAATGATTCAAGTTACGCTAGTTTTCTTTGTTTCACGCAAAACACGTGATAAGATTTTGATTATAACTTATTATCATCTTAATTCCTATATTAAACGATTTATTCAATGAAAACCAAAACCATTCTGTTTATACAACTTCCTATCACAAGTTAATCATCTTCCTATACTTTTAATTAACTGATTATCATGATAATTGAATAATAACTGAACATTATTTTTCATAAGACTTTCCATTCCACTGTTATAAAAATGCTTTTTCTTTTCTCATATTGTATTTAATTGAATGATTTGTTAAAGGATATTGTCCAATGGGCCAAATACCGTATGTTCGATATGCAAATGAAGAACCCCGAACTTGCCATATGGCTTTGCAACCATGTCCTACAGTCGCTCAGTACATGTGTATTTATAGTGCCGAAAAGATGAACTCGTACTGTTGTGCACCGATCGATACAGCTTTCATTGGTCAATCGGAAATTTCATTGCAACAGCACAGACATCGCATGCCAATAAGTATTCTTTTATTTTTTCGTTCTGAAATTTTTAAATTTTCTGTCATTTTAGACACGGTTTCTTTCTTCTGAAAGATAGAAAAAATTACCAATAAGTTTTTCTAAATTAAATATTTTAAAGAAATAAATGGCAAACGTCAAAATGTTTTAAACAATAAATATTATAATTCTGTTTAATTTTAATTCAGTAACGTCTCCCACTTTTCACTTAACGTCTCCTATAACAATTTGATTATCGCTGACTAATTTTCAATTTTATGATCATACTATTTCTGAAATTATGAAAAGATTTGCAGTGGAAGATGAATTAGGGTGTCCGATAGGATCACAAGCTTTAATGGATCAGTGGAATCAGTTTCAAGGTTGCAATCCGGGAATGTGTCCTCAAATGTATTCATGTCACTATTCAGTTCGACATAATCGCTATCAGTGTTGCTTAAGGATGACAGGTGCCATCCCGATGATATCTGCAATAGCTGCCGATACTGCTGAAGGCACAGAATGTGAAGCTGGGACAGCAAGAATAAAGGGTCGATGCATGAGAAGTAAGCATTGCTTGTTTCTTTTTTAATTTACTTGAGTTTATGAAGGCATTGATGGAAATCGTCATTTATTGCAAGTCATACAATTTCATTTATTTTCCTTTTTCGTCTTTACTCCTTTCTTCCGCTATATCCTTTCCAGTACTATATCTCGGTCAAAAAGGTTGCGAGGAAAATGACCAATGCTCGATGCGTGTAGCCGAAGCGCGATGTGAACAAAGTTATTGCGTTTGTCCACGAAATAAACTGATACATCAATCAAAATGTGTAACACATTGTCCTGAGGGTTTGTTCGTGTTTCTTCTCTCTTCCCAAGCAAATTTGACCATTTAATTCAATCAATTTAACATCATGCAGTTAGCTTTGAATTAGACACTTTTCATTAGCTATCATAACTCTAAAATTTGAAACAAAAATTTTTTACAAAAAAAATTAAATTTAGCTAGCAACGCGAATGTTACTTTAGAATCTAAAAATGTGCAATTCTCTAATGATTTGCATGAATTTTAATATTGGTTTTTACTATATGAACCCATGCAGTCAGTAATTGATAGCTAGGTGGCCAATTGATTATTCTGTGATCTTATTTTCATCATTGTTTATTTTAGCAAGGTTATATTCGGTGAAAAATTGCGATGAAGGATGAAAAGATAAGAACACGGAATTTTCTGTATCTCACTGCATTGATATCATTATTGGATTTTCCAGGATTCATCGATATAGCAGGTAGATGTCGTGATCTAACAACTATAGTCTTCATGGATTCGGTAGACGAACGTACCAATGGTACTATCGGTGGTTTTTGTAAGAACACCGTTATTGCTGAGGATCAATGTGATGTGGATAATTCATATTGCAATGAGATTTCAGTTACCTGCCAGTGCAAACCGGGTTACGAACTAAAATTTGATATGGACGAACATGATAATACAGTTAGTTTGCATGTATTTGTAACTATTTTGCGAACTTTCGGAGGAGTAGTTAAAATTCTTTAAATAAATGATAGTGATGAATTAGTGACAGGACGCTCAACTTTGCAGCTCATACTAGCCAGGTTTGGAGCAAAACATTGAATCCTCTCAAAAACATGCTTAAGAATTTAATCAAAATCGAACCTAAAAACTTTTAACGAATGATAGCGTATATAATGAAATTATGATCTTTTATATCCGTAAAATGTGTTTTCGTTCTATATTATTTGTAATTTAGGGTTCCTGCGTTAAAATGGTGAAAAGCAAGTTTACAAATCAAACTTCGACAGTACCTGACGAAACCAATTTTATAGAATTCTATTTTACGGAAGATGACTCATTCAGGAATGATACTTTCCCAGTATTGGAAAGTACATCATTAGAAGATGATTCTGAGAACTTAGAACGATACTTAATTCAAACTGATGATGACAATATACCCATTGCATGATAATATATTTAGAAATGTGCAATAAGTGACACATCCATCCAATTAATCCGTATTATTTTATCTAACAGAAAGAAAGTAGCAATAATTTAAATCATTAAAAACCACAAATAGAGAATTTTACCACTGGATCAGAGTATCGATTAAAAAGATTGAGTTAAAAATTTGAATCAAGAACATAATTATTTCGTTCTCTCCAATTATTTTTATAAACATAATAGTCATGTCAAGTATAAGTTACTTCTATGCCTTTCAGCGAAAATATTACAATTTTTACAGTTATTTGTAAATATCATCTATATTGAGTAAATTACATTAATTATGCATATAGTTTAAGCAATAATAGCTATATACTAGTACTCATTAAGAAGCATTGTAATTAATTCGAAGAGATTTTGAGAATAATCATTATTGTTGTCCATTCATACAATCCAAATATTGGGTATCTGTAACTGAAGATAAAGAAGATAACTTTTGTACCAAAAAAATTTGCTTGTCATTTAATGATCTTCCAGTCAATAAACGCAAGGTGTACCTTCTCATTTCATCCAGAAATTTCCTTCCCGTTTTACAACTAAATTATTGAATGTTGAAATCCTTTTTATCTTTTCGAGCAGTTCCAATCTTTTATTTCGAATATTCGTCGACGAAGAAAGTTACAAACTTAGGCTCATAATTCCACAGTAATATTATTTCAAACGAGTAAGTATTAAACATCTTATATTTTATAAAATGTTGGCGGATTACCCAAATCTAAGCAAAAATAAGATTAATTTTCGACTTACAACAGAAGATTAGAAATGCAATCAAAAATAAATCGAAGGCCAAATCAATTAGCGAGAACTTCTGATGTATCTTGGCGCGAAGGCTTACACTCCGAGAATTGATCATTCAATCTGCTGGATGATTCGATCAGTTTGGATTCAATCAAACAATTCGAATTCATAACGGCAGGTAATTTATGTGACCAAGAAATTTGCAACGAAATTAAACAATATTTAAAAATTTAACCAATTTAAATAATTACTATTATAAAAATCATCTATGCACATTTATTTACTGACGATCAATAATTGTTTCAATATTTTTTTAAAGTCATATTTTGGGAAATGTTTTTTCCAGAAAAATTATCGAAATTTAAGTTGTGAAAATTTATTTTTTTACGGTTTTTTCAAAACTTAAAGATTATTATTGCCATAAGACTAAAATAAAATCATTAACAAAAATGTAAACTCATCTTCGTTGTTGACGAGACCATTAATAAATACTTCATGTTTCTAATCAATTAAACAATTAATGGAACTTAAAATCAAAATACGCTGCCTCGAAAAGCTACTGCTTTTTATATATTATCTTGCAAGCCATATTCATAGAGATATCATTTTGTACAAATAGCATTTATCATTAGGAAAAAATTTCATTAAATACACAGACAGGAGTGATATCAATAATCAACAGGTATGCTTCTGCTGTGCTTATAATCGCTAATTGATACTGATAATGTAATTTGCAATGGATTACACCAAATTACCGATACATCGTTAACGTAACTGTACTGATTATATCGATTTCTTTTAAATTCACGCAAAGACATTTCGAATATCATAAAAAATACATTTTGTCCAAGTTTTAGGATTTATATTACGTGAAATAATAATATTTGCGTTAGAAATATTTTTTGAACAATTTATAAAATATTAAAAGACGGAAAAATTCCACCATTTCTCTTTTCGAACAGAATGTTATGAAAAGTTTTAATGTTATCGTGAAAATTAACAATTAATGAATGGAATTAGTGAAAATTAACAATTAATTTAAATTAGTGAATGGAATTATAGCTTTTGCATTCCAAAACTGATAGAATTTGAGTGATTAAATTCAAATTCTCATCCATTGAAAATATGTGACAATATTATCATCCTTCTAAAAATTTCTTTAAATTTGATAATAAAATTAGCAAATTCATCATCAAATTTAACAATTTTCACACCATGCAACACCAAATCGTGGTCCAATATACATTTTTAAATTATTTTTTACAGTGACATATATATGTGGTTGCCACTGAAACAATCCGAACCATAGGCTTTCCATTTTAAATTTCTGATGATCGGTAATTTTCCATATCGGCGACGATAAAGTGGTTCCCTTCTTCAATCCCCATACAAATAAATGCCAATTTTTGTCGTCACATTTTGAACCTTTCACCTGAAAAAAAAGAATATGAAAATTTTGATCGTTAGAAATTTGGGAAAAAAAGTTACCGAATTTTATTAACAAGTCGATCGGATGTTTAACATAATTGATTTATTTGATCATTCAATATGATACTATTGATAATATGAAGACGTAACTTCAATTTTCCAAAGAAAATATATATTTGGATAATTGATAACTGTCATTATTTCTTATCTATTTTGTGCTTTTTATCTTATTTATTTATAAAGGCATTGATAAAAAAGAAAGGAAAAGCTGACATGGAAAACATGATAATTACTGAGTGAACCATCCGGTTGCGTAACCGACTTTCCTGTTACGATAACTCGATCACTCCAATATCTTGCCGATTCTACCGAAAGATGGAATTGAAATGGTTTTTCAGTTTCAGATTTTAATCGAACTTCAATATCACATGCTTTTGTAAGTATTACTGTCAGAAATAACATAAAGAGAGAAGATTGACTCAAAACTTGGCATATCATTTCGGAGTTACTGAAATTAAAGTGGAAATTCCAAAACAGATAAAGTAAGCGATGAAATTAAGGCTTCCGATAATATCGATGTTATAAATTGGAACACTTAAAATTTCTGATCAATGAATTTACTTAGTAAATCGACAATGAAAACGATGAAAGGAATTCTTGATCTTTCCGATTACAATTAAAAATCTTCTAGACAGTTACTTTTTAATTAGAATAAATTTAGTGAAGCAATTCTTTCATAAATTTTGCTCGAACGAAGAATTTGAAACGTCAAATAATTGCTAGATATGCGACAACGTTGAGGATTAACGACAATTTTCAATCGAAAATAGAAAAAATTCCGATCAAACGTTGCTAGTCATTCATATTTAAATATCAGCAACTCTTTAAGTGCCAGAACATCCATGACAAACATTTAACTGCACACATTCAGGACAAAGGTCAATTGATGGATAGAAGTGGTACCGAAGAACTGGTGAATGTTCCAGTGTCATTGACGATTCCTGATCATTCAATCTTCCAATATTTGTTAAAATCAAATTTTTTTTTCTTAATATATGAATGACCCCTCAACCTGCCACTTTCATTTCAAACACTGCATGGATCATCATAATCAGGTTATTAGAAATTTGGATTAAATTTTAAGGAATAGAAAGTCTGCAAATTTTTTTTTCCTTTTACCTTTTATAACCATTCCAAAGATACGAAGTAAAGGAGAAAACTGTAATATACACGACAAATGAAATAGAAAACCGGAAAGATTATCAAACCATAACCCCAGAAAAAAAGTCAATAGACGGGAAAATCAGCGGAGTCAGATAAACACAGAAAAGTGATGGATGTATGAAGAAATCGAGCAACATTCAGGTTGAAAATGATACACTTTGATTTTGGGTGAAGTGTAAGAACATTTGGAATGTCGTTTACATTGGTCAAAAAGTCCAGTGCGATAATGGTAGAAGTGACCAATGGATATTTGCTGTTGCGTAAATTCAGCATTGCGAAAAATCAGAATGTAATCGTTATCCTTCTCATATATCGGTGAGTGAATAAATTTTGTATATTTTTCAAATTCTCTGGTAGTTTCTGTAAAAAAAAAAATACTACATTACTTAAACTTTTGTTCTGTAAGAATCATTCTGTAAGGAAGCATTTACTCAACCTGAAATTTTTATTAGACAGAGATTAGAATCATATCAATAAAAGCACTAAATAAAGGCAATATATGGAAGGCAAATAATTTAACGATTACAATATTTTCTAAAAAAAAACAATACAGTCGAAAGTTTAAAGAATTATATCTTAATTCATATCCTCAAGAATAGATTGATAAAATCGTAAAAGATATTTATCAAAATTAGATAAACACGTTTAGCAAAAAAAATCTAAGCATAAAATACCACTAACAAAATTTATCAAATCAGATCTTTTATCACTTTTTCTGATAACGATATTGATGAGCACGAAATAAGAACTACTATGCTTAATACTTGCTATAAATTTATGAAAATCTGATGAGGACAAAATTTAACAAGAAGCAAGAGGAAATACTATAGCTCAGTAACTGAGAATATTTTAAACTCAATCATGAGTTGGAAGAATCAAAAAGAGCTTCTTAGAAATTTTTTAATAATTTCTTCAACCTTTATTAAAACTAAAAACATTACAAGATTAGCAGCATTACAAAGCGCGTGCTCCAATTGTCAAAAAGAAATATAAAAAAATATGATATTTGGGGAGATAATTAAAAAATTTTGTTTCAAAATACGATTTTCATCGTTCAGTGCAAAAGTAATATTGCAAACATAATATTGCAAACGTAATATTTCGAATAAGATGAATATAATTACAAGTACTTGCAAAATAAGCATTTCAAAGCAAAGAAAATCACTCCTCCGGTATTGTGGAAATACCCGTTTTTCGTTCGTAAATTTCACGATCTGTTGGCTGAATAATACCCCACTTTGTGGCTGCGTCTAAAGCTCGACGTGCTTCCTTCTGTGCTAGCTCACGATCTTTGTTTTTCAATTTTGTTATAGCAATCAATATACGAAAGATCTCACTCTGCAAACAAAACCAACTTTTTATCAACAAACTTAGTTGCAACAAACTGAAGTAATATCAGTTTAAATTTAAGTTTAAATTGAAGACATCTTAATGATTTTTCGTATTCTACTCCTACGAAATTTATTCGAAATTTAGTCCATTTCAATAGCCTTTATAATTGATAGCTTTCAAAAAAAAAAATGCCCGCGAAAATTTCAAGAAAGCCAAAGACTAAATATGTTAAATGTGTTCAGGAAATAAAATAATCAGAATACGTTCAGGCAATAAAATAATTTAATAAACAATTCAGAAATATCAAAACATACGGCAATAATTTCACAGGCAACTTTCTCTGATGACTCCACCATATTGGCAATCCCAATTAAACCGCGGCGTTGAATTTCAGCATTTCCAGACATGCAAATGTCGTTCAAAACTTCAGGCCAACTTTTCATCTCATCAATGATTCGCTTACAGGCTTCTTTACTTTGAGTTAAAATTGCAAAACCAGCGGAAGATGCAAGTGCTAGACGTTCATCTTCTTCTGCACTATATAACACCCACAGTTTCAATCTATCACTGCCAGGCTGAAATATTGAAAATTTGATCATAAAATGACTTCAAGTTTTACAATTGAAAATTTACATATAATTTAGCTTTCTAGAATCTTTTATTTTACTATCAAATTAGATAAATAATTCGTAAGCAATTTCTGAACAGGTGACTCGGTTTATTAAACAGACATCTTTTACTAATAAAAAATAATAATATTCTCAAATATACGTAATGTACGAGGTGAAACGCTTAATTTTTGCGGACAGTTTCAGTTATTATATTCTGGAATATCTGTCTGGTAGAGTAGTTGAATGACTATTAAATTAAGATACAAAAAATGAACCCGGACAATCTCATTGAAAAAATCTTCACAGAACAATAAATTAAGAAACAATTCAGCAGCTGCTGCACGAAGTTGCGCATGATCCGTCATAAACCAATATTCTTCAGCTCTCGATACGACTCGTTCCTTGATCATCCGACGACGAACCGAATCACTCATGCTTGCCTAAGATAAATATTAGATTAAGTTACAAAGCGATGAAAAATGTCCACAAGTTTGTTATCGAAATAAATTAAATTAGATATTCACTGTAAAAATTCTGATATACAATTTTAATACGAGTAACTGCAAGAAAACTGCAATTTTTATAATAATTTAATCAAAGAAAGAATCAATTTTGGGTCAAATTTCAATGAACCAATTAAAAATTACAAAGAATTATTGAGTTTGCTTGGTTACTCAACATAAGTCATATTTTTTATAATGGCCCAATCGTGTACTGAATATGGCCATAGTAGTGCTTAATTTATCTGATTTAATCTTCGGCAGAAAATTAAACTACCAGGTTAGTTAGTGTCAACAGTGCATCGTAGTTTGGCCTTCCCTCAATATCTGGATGAAGTAATTCAATCAATGGGCGAATTACTTCATATGCTCGCTGTCCAGGGAATGCCATTGAGGGATCAACCTGAAAATGAAAACACTCTCAGTAAAATTTCTTACTGCAGTTAACTAAGTAAACAAAAGTCAAAAATATTATTCAAAAACAAAGAAAAGAAAATGTAACCTGTGTTCCTAGCCTTGCTATAGCATGTGCAGCCTTAATTTTACCCTCTGGTGTTGCATTTTTTGCCAAATATAGGCAAAGCTAAAAAAATGAAGTTAAGTATACACACAACTTAAAGTAACGTCCTAAAACTGAAAAAAGTACATAGCAAATCATCAGTGCAGGAACATTAACTATATGATAATTCCATGCAATTCTCCAAGATGAATGCTACGGTAAAAAGGAAAATAAACAAAGAGAGGAAAATCAAAAAGCAAAAGAACACAGAAATAAAAAACAAAAAATATTTAGAAACTATGCTTCGACATATGAATTTACAATCAACAAAATTTTCATCATACTGAAATTCAATAGAAAAATTACCTTAGCACCACCTTCGCTGAGAATTTGTCCTCGTATATCTGAAAACTCCGTGAAAGCTAACATAGCACGAGCTAGTAATTCTAACGCGTTCCTGCTTTCAGTTTTCGATACTGCTACACATGCTGTTGTAGCCCCATCAGCTACGAGTAAACGGACTCGCCGCTCCACATAATCATCCGTGTCTTTTGGATGTGTTTCCGGAACATGATGTTTAGCAAACTGCAAATCATTTGTTACCTATTTATTTTTCCTTTGAAATAGTTTATTTGTCAACCTGAGGGCAGATATCTTTTCTTTTATTTTACAAAAATTTTGTCAAATTTACTGTTTATTTCTTTATACAAGAGATAAGACTTCATTACTCATTAGAAGAGCAAATATTTAGAGGAACTGTGACAATCGATGCTATGTTCCTCTGTGCTTCAATCACAGAGATATTTTTAGTTAAATAACAAATTAAGTCAAAAAATTAGAGCAACTAATTTCGTCAACTAAGGAATTAGTTTCTAATATATGAGCGATACTTCTTTCGAAAGTCCATTAACATTTTAAAATATCAGATAAAATTTAAGCCGATTGTCTCACCTGTGCGAGCTTAACAAGCTCTTCATCAATCTTTGGTTTTTCATAAGAATTTGTCAAATTTACATAAATACTAGCCAAAGCATAAACACAAAGGGAACCAGCACTCTAAAATAAAACCAGAAACATTAATCAATGGACGGAAACGTTTGCAAAATTAACTGTTTCTTAGATATTATAAAAACTTCAGCTAAATTTAAGTAGGATTTAAGCAATCATATTTTTAGTAATTTCACAACAAAAACCGTACTTTTGCAAGACAAAGTAATGCCTGGAGGAGAAAGGAATCTTGAACAATCCATTCTTTTACATCGGCATCTAGCGTCAGATATGACAATCCTTCACATG